TATATTATATACTATATTCTAAAAATATGCAATATTATACTATATACTATATTATAAAAATATGCAATATTTGATTTCTATATTTTTTTAATTTATTGGGAATCATGTCCTCAAACAAAACTTTCATGAATTATTACTTTGACATAAAAATCATAACAAAAAAAAAAAGGAATAACATGAATAAAAATACAAGTTTATCATTTGTGATTATTGTCCTAATTTGTATATATAAAATAATTCTACAAAATAATATCACGTAGGATACAATATTAAATATATTATTAAATTCCTCTAAAGAAAGAATTATAAAAATGCGTTTCATTAAGAAACGACAATATTTTACAGTACTGAAAAGAGTAAGACAATACTCAAATAAATTTTCTGCCATGTTATTTTCTCATTTCTATAGCTTCAATGTATCACAAGTGCATCTATTGTTGTCGATTATGGAACGTGCCAATGCGCATGCACGGAACGTTGCGACGATTATGCCAAGTTCACCTATGGAGATCATCGATCGTCACCATTGGCATCCTGAATATGTGTAATCACTTTGTTAACACTCCGAGCAAAATCATGGATTATACTATCTGTTGAAAATTAAATCTCTTTTACTTTCTTGCCTATTATATACACACAATTATATAAATTTATGTGTACAGCATGCGTTATGATTTGATCAACTATTTTTTAAAACTAAAAAAATTTTTTTTTAAAAGTTTGATTGAATAACAAAGATTTTAAATATAAATATATAAATATTAAATATATATCAATATTCAGCAAAATGATGCGTTCAAAGATTTAAAAAATTTTTAAAATAATTTATGTAATAACATCAAAATTAAATTTGAATTTTCACATAGAAAGAGAAAATACAGAAATACATAATTCAACAGTATACAAAATAATAGGATTCCAAAATTTAAGATGATTGATTATGCTAATCAATTTAGAGAGAGACAAAGACCGTTTTTCAATAATGGGTAAATGATCGCGAATAACACTTAATTAGGGCAAACAATATACATGGTGGGATAGATTATCAAGGTTTATGAATAGATTCAAGTAAATCAATATACAGATTATTAATAGTACGCGCGCGGATTGTACAGTA